TTTCTTTTCTTCTCTGGTGAGGCAACATCCAAAAAAGTTCAATTTCAGATAATACCTAATCAAATTAAATCGTTATTATAATTAATTTACATATAATTAAAACATTCGGTTATAATAAATACCTCTCCCCTTAGAGCTAAAAATGATTCATCGTTATTTGTTATTTCAATTGCCATATTAAGTAATCCAATAAATAGATTCATTAAATATATTGTTGTGAAAAATGAGAAAATCATCAATAAAAACACCAAAGTCCAATTGTCTTTCCAAACCCATGGTGTAACTGAGCTTGTATCTCCTATATAATAGCAAATTAATTATTTCACTTATAAAATATTGAGAAGGGTAATAGTATAATACCTGTAAGCATAAAATATACAGCAATAATTGCCGTACTAAATACTGCAAACAAGTTTGTATTTGCATCTGGTGTTTCAATTAAAGATGTACTTTCAATACTGCCATTAGACGAAACAGATTGATATGTCGAAACAAGATTCCATGGATTATTAACATCATCTGTATAATTCGGCTGATCATAAGAATATTCAGAAGTTGGTCGTAGCAAAATATGCAAGGAATGCGCAAAAGCAAAGACAATAAGACCCAAGACCACGAGGAATGCAACTACTTTTTTTGCTACTCCAATAAGAATAGCAAAATAATTTCCAAAACCTTCAATAGCACGAAAGAAGAATAAAAACTTAACATCAAGCAAAAGTGTTGCAATAGTAATTATCCAAACTGGAGGAATTTCGTCGAACAACCATACTAACGAGGTTATTAGTGGAAACATAATTGCCGTTATATCTGCCAAAATAAATAGATTGATAACCAGATCAGTTATTACATATAGAGATAGTGCCATATACAAATTACTATTATTAATAAAGGAATTTCTACTGACACGGCCCTGATTTTGGAATACACGCTGTGCGAGTAGAAATTTTAATGAAAATTTATATTATACGTACCAAACCAATTCCAAGGACTAGTAATATATGAT